AGGAAAGAGGCAGAAGTATACAAGAAAACCATTTATGCTCCATTCTTTCATAAAATACATGATTTAGCACTAGTGTTTACCAGGCGTTGCACTATGCTCTCTGCCACTCACTCTTCTCAGAACAATCCAGAGATGGATGGTAACCTCCCCCGAGTCTAGAGAGGGGCTGAGGCTCAGAAGGTTTGACAACTGACACGGCCTTGAACCCAGGCCATGCTGACTCGAAAACCTGGACTCTTCCCGATACACAAGGTTGCTTTTCCACTAATTAATTAGGACAGTGATATTTTTTTAAGTGAGTCAACTTAAAGAAAAATATTAAATAAAGCAGAGAAGGCCCAATGACATGATGGAACCGTGACAGTCACACCTGGATGACAACAGACGTGGAGATGTTGTTCCGGGAAGACTCATCGTGAGCCAGGGATGGAGCCGGAGCCAGAAGCCAGGTTGCTGGGCCCCCAGTCTCAGGCTCTCTCCACCTCCTGCGTCCCTGAGGGTGGGCATCAGGAAGGAGATGCTCTTGCAACGTTTGCCCGGGGGCCTAAGGTTGATTTCCTGTCCCTGAGCCCAGCGCAAAATCAAATCAAAGCCTGAACAAGTGGAAAGTAGAGTCCATTCCTTACTCCAATTAGTATCTACCTGTCACCAGCTGTGGTGAGGTGTGGACGCTCCACATCAGCCTGAACCAAGTCCCAGGAGGCCGCCCCGGCAACCCTGCCTGAGAGCCTGGGGCACAGTGGTCGGGCACAAAGAAAGGGCTTCGTCACTTCAAAACATGACAGATACGTTCCATGGACTATATTGAAAATCTGGACGTATTTTTAGCTAAATAATGAAAACAGTGGTTTTTCATTGTTGTTTGTCTTGGTTTTGCCTCTTCAGGAAGGATTAGGACGTAGGCCCTCACTCTCAACTTCTGCCCTTTTCTTCCCCCAGGCCAACAGATGATGACCAAGAGATATATTATGTCAGGCTGATTGATGGGGGTTCAGGGAAAAATAGGTGAAGTGAGAGAGCAGGTGTGTGTGTGTGTGTGTGTGTGTGCTCACACATGCACATGTGCTTGCATACATGCTGGCATGTTTTAGAAAGGAGGGCACCTCAAGGTGATGAAGACTGGGCAGAGGGAAGATTTTTGAGTGAGTGAGTGAATGAATGAATGAATGAACAACGAACAAACGAATGAATGAACTAAATGCCCAGGCCTGCAGTCTCCTCCACACCCTGGTCTCAGATGCAGACAAGCCTTTTCCATGTATCTCTGTCATCACTGTGCCCAATATTCCCTTAACATGTCACCTCCTCTGGAAAACATTAAAAGAACGACAGTGAGGCTTACTGGAGAATCTTTTCTACATCATTTGCTCCTCAGTCACTGCTGTTGTGACTCTGGGGCTGGGCGAGGGGGGAAAGTTGTGTAACCAGACATAGTAACTAGAAAGTGCTCAAAAGACATCCCTAATCATAAGGCATGGGATTTGGGGTCAGCTGGGCGGCTGAAGTGGGCTATTTGCAGAGATGGCCACGATGGCCCCCTCCCTGGCCACAGGCATAGCCCCTCTGCATTGTGACCTAGCAAGTAACCCCCAACAAGAGGTGATGTTCACTCCTCCACGCCTCACCTATGGACTTGGCTGCGTGTCTTGCTTTGGCCAATAGCATATTCGCAAGTATGACACGAGCTGAGGCTTGACAAGTGCTGGCACGTTTGGTGTTCCCACTTTGCGCCCTTTTTTTAAACTGGCCAGAAATCCATAGCCTTATCAGTGGCCCTAGTCGAACTTAGCCCAAATTGCCAACCTACAAAATCATGAGTCACTGAGTTGTGACATCATTTGTTACGTAGCCACTGAAAACTGCTACAGAGGCCTCCCGTTCCTTTGTGTCCCAGTTTCTTTATCTAGAGAACATGCTAATTAAATAATATGTATAAAGTACCTGATACAGTGTGACATACCTCCCAGGCACGCACTAAATGGCCACAGTTGTTAGTATCCTTGTTTTGACAATAAAGAAAATGAGGTCCAAGACGTTAACTGACCTGGCCAAGCTGGTAGGTGGTGCAGCAAGGCTTCAAACCCCGGTCTGTCTGCCATCGGTTTGGTCTGCGCATCCTACACTGCTGCCCCTGCGGAGAATTCCCTTTCTCCTCCCTTCTCCCCCTCTGCTTCCTTATCCTACCCTGCAGACGCACCAAGCTCAGAACTCACCCTTGTCACAGCAGCCCACCTGGAGCCATCGCTTTTCAGAACGTCTGATTTCTCTTGCACGCTCATACTCTCCCTATTGCTTCTTTACACTTACATGTGTAGTGATCGCCCACTATGTGCACGCACTGCCACGGGCTCTGGGCACGCGGGGGCGAGCACGGCACAGTCCCCACGGGGTTCGTGGCCTGGGTGCCTCCCCCTCGGAGTGCAGCACGCACCACACTGTCTCGGACTGCCGCATCACCAGTTCGCGCACTTGCGTCTGGTCTCCATGCTCAGATTCGAAACTCATGGTAGGCAGAACCACTTTCGTTCATGTAGCCATGCACCCCTCCCCCCTCTGCTTCAGCAAGCACCCAGGGAACTCTGGGGATGTATGAGATACTTCAAAGATGAACTCTTGAAATGTTCACAGCCCGCCGCCGTGCCTCATGTAGCGCGGGGCCCACAGCAGGCAGCCCCAAATGCTCGAACTTAAATGCTCTGGGGGTGAGGACTGAAGACTCTGTGTGCCGTGCCATCAGTACATGGCTTGGGAGCTGCCGCTGGCATTCTCCTCCCTCCAGGAGTGGCTGCGGGAGAAAGCTGGGTGGTGTGGTCCTTCCTCCTCCACCAGCTCTGAGGCCACCGTCAGGCTGCTGTGAGCGTGGGAAGCAGGGACAGACCTGCCTGCCCGGCCTGCGCGTCGGATGCCAGCGGCATTTCTGTCCAGCCGCCCTGCCCCGTGACCAGCAGGGGCAAGTGTGCATGGGGCACCTGCTGAGTGCAGAGCACTGTGCTGGGCACCAGCACCGTCTTCCCAATCCCCGCCTGCTCTGTCCAGTCTACGCCCGGCCAGCCTTGTTGATCAGAGCCAAGACTGAGAGGTGCCAGAGGCCATACAAATGGGTTCAAACCGTCTCTGGGCATTAAGTGCAGTGTTACTAGCAAGATCTGGCTCTAGGGAGACTGCACGCCAACTGGGGACACAGATAACATGACAGATTTTTTTTTTTAACTGCCATAAGATTTCAAAGCCCAGAGGTAATAGCTTTCGAAAGGTGGAGTTTGGTGTGGGTTTGAGAAATGACTATGACGGGCAGTTGTGAGGCATGGGGAGCTGCAGGGTCAAGGGCCAACCGGGGCAGTATGTGGGGTGTGCAGACGTTGTCAAGGAGAGGAGCCCAGTTGGAGCCCAGAGGAAAGGCTAGAGATCTGGGTGGGGGGTGGTCCCTGGGACCAGGACCCAGGTGTTGAAATCCCATAGAGGAGAGTGATCCATTCACAGAGGTGCCTGAGGATCATAAAAAGGACCTAGACTGGGGATCGCTGGTCTAGACAAGTCCTCTACAGAATCCTGAATCGGAAAGCCCATCTGGTTACTAGCCCTGCATATTTATCACCACCCTCTGGTCTAAGCATTCTTTATCTACTGGTCTCCCTCAACTCCCACAGGGTCTGCAAGAAGTAGGTGTTAATATTTCTATTCAAGAAATGAATCTGAACTCGGGACTCTGGCTTTAGAGTTGTGCTTTAATCTACAAGGTGATTCTACCCGACAATGCCCAGCTAACTCAGTCACATGTTTTCTCAAGCGGCAATTCTTTCTTTACCCTAAGTGAAGACCCAGCTAAAAACTGTCCAGAGCTCAGGTTTTGCTCCTTAACCTGAAATAATTGAAATGTGAAGTTCAACTCTTACAGATTGACCTCTAGGAAGTCTCATCCCCATTTTACTGAGTGGGAGACTGAGGCCCAGAGAAGTGAATGCCTTGCTCTAAGTCCCATAGCTGGTTGGAGTGTGAGGCAGGACTTCCAACATGAGGTCCAGGCTCTTGGGCAAAAGCTCCGGGCCCCTGGGGAGTTCACTACCTGCTGGTCACATAGGATGTGAACATAGAAAGATAACATCAAAGAGAGGGGTCTTCTCACACCCTGCTATTCTTTCCCTTCCTTAAACATAATTTCAGCAGCAGAATCCCCGCTTTTAATGAGAAACGTTATAAGGAACCCAGAGATACTTAAAATACAACAGTTTTAATCTGTCCTAATTGTCTTTGGCAGTGAAGGGTCTGGAGCTCCAACTGCCGGGGCTACCTCACTCTGTTTCCCCAGGTTGTCCGTGGGGCTCACCACATTCTTCCATGAAAAAGCCCAGACACTCTCGAGGCCCAATCCGTAAACTCCTGCATTCCCCAATCACCTGCTTGGATTCCAATACCCATCTCAAGTCCAGTTAGACCTCACCTCCACATCAGTAGCAAGGTCAGTGCTGGGCCAAGCTGTAATGTTCTGAAATCATTCCTTGGAGATGACAAAGCATGCTCACCCCCTTTACCTCATGTGATCCTCAGAACAGCGCTCCATTTTGCAGATGAGAATACCAAACCCCAGATGAGCTACATACCTAACCATCATCAGTAGAGAGCAGGGTCAACTTCAGCCCATTGCACCTGACTCCAAACCCACATCCCTGCCTCAGGAGGCTTTATGTCCATGTTGCCCCCACCATGACCTTGTGTATTCTGCTTTTATAGGTAACACAATCCCACAGCAGGCAGGTCATGCAAGTCTCTTGTGAACTTATACAAACTAAACATGCCCAGGGCCCCACCCCAGGTATAGAGAACCAGAAGCCAGGGTTGCAAACCGTTACCTCCCACCATGATGACGCCCAGTCACTTGGGCACAAGACAGAGCAAAAACACCCATAGTGATCCCAGGTCTCAGGTTTAGACTCCCTTTGGCTCCTGGTATTGAAGAAAGAGGACCTGACCCCAAACAGCAGCAGAGCCTGAGTAGGACTTACCGTGTAAAGCTCATTGGTGACCTTGAGGAGCTCCTCATGCATCTGCAGGCCAATCTCCTTGCTCTGGAATATGGAAGAACAAATATCAGAGGGGGAGAAGGTCACTGGCTGCACCAACCAATTTCCTTTTCAACCCAGAAAGGGCAGGAAGACTTGGGACGGGGTGGGAATGGGTACAGAAATCAGCATAAACCTCATTGATCTAGACTTGAATTCCTCAACTTGTGTCTATGAAGCAAATCTACCAGAGGGGCCCCTTGGAAAAGGAATTCCCTGGCCACATAAATTGCAGAACCTTATACCTCCCTGCATTGGTGACTTACAGAGACATCATCATGTTAAAGATTCTGAGAAGCCCACAGCCAATCAATCTGTTCATCTTTCTTTAATTCTGCCGGTCCTAAGCTGATGTGACCAGAGTATGTATCCCTAGCTCAACACTCATTAGCATCTCATGAGAGTGGGGTTCCACAGAACACAGTTTGAGAAATAATGATCTAGCATCTCAGCTCATCATGAAGAGTACAGGTTAACAGACTGTAGCACAAGGCAGGAGATCACGGTTGTTGCCTCCACGACATCCCTGATGGGCCCTGTGGCCCTGGAGCCTTACTTACCACAGCTACAAGATAAACTAGAGCATCACAAAGCTTGGTCTGGGGGTAACTGCTGAGTGCTACACTAAAAAAAGGGGGGGCAGAGGCTCCTGTAAGCAAATACATTTGGGAAAAGCTAGTTGAACAAAGAGACAGGTTTTCTTACTGCAGGACTCCTCAGAGGCTTTCACATCCTCATACGCACGGGCTTTCTAAGGAGCACAGTAGTATGCAGTTTAGATGACCTCAATCTTTTTTCCATGAGGTGACTTACGCATTTAGTATCCTGAGAGTTATAATTTGAAATACAATTCACAAATCATCTCCAGGTCCCACCCAGGCTGAAGAGTTTAGGATTCTCTGTTACTTAAGGTATTTTTATTATTATTATTATTATTTTGGTTAATACCTTCCCTGTTTGCCTGGACTATCATATGAAGTTTCCATGTTGAAAATGGGAGCCCTGAAAATAAAAAACACAAGGAACAACAAGTATTGGCGAGGACGTGGAGAAAAAGGAACCCTCAGGCTTTATTGGTGAGAATGCAAACTGCTGCAGCCACTATGGAAAGCAGTATGGAGGTTCCTCAAAATATTGAAAATAGAAATACCATATGATTCAGTAATACCACTACTGGGTATTTACCCAAAGAAAATGAACACTAATCCAAAAGATATATGCACCTTTATGCTTATTGCTGCATTATTGACAATAGCCAAGACACAGAAGCAGCCCAAGTACCCATCAATGAATGGATAAAGATACAGTGTGTGTGTGTGTGTGTGTGTGTGTGTACACACAATGGAATATTATTCAGAATGAAATCTTACCATTTGCAACAACATGGATGGACCTAGGGCGTATAATGTTAAATTAAATAAGCCATTCATAGAAAGACAAATACCATATGATTTCACTCATATGTGGAATTTAAGGAACAAATGAAAGAAGACAACGTCCCAAAATGGACTCTTAAATACAGGCAACAAATTGGTTTCCAGAGGGGAGGGAGTGGGAGGATGGGTGAAATAGGTGAGGGGGGCGGTGAGACACCAGGGTGGCTCAGCCAGTTAAGTGGTTAAGCATCTGACTTTGGCTCAGGTCATGACCTTGCGGTTTGTGGGTTCGAGCCTCACATCACGCTTTGTGCTAACAGCTCAGAGCCTGGAGCCTGCTTCAGATTCTGTGTCTCCATCTCTCTCTCTGCCCCTCCCCCTTCTCTCTCTCTCAAAAATAAATTTAAAAAAATTTTAAAGAAACAGGTGAAGGGGATTAAGCGCATACTTATTGGGAAGTGCACTAATATACAGAATTGCTGAATCATTATTTTGTACACCTGGAACTAATATAACACTATATATTAATTACACTTGAATTGAAAGAAAGAGAAAGAAAGAAAAAGAAAGGAAGGAAGGAAGGAAGGAAGGAAGGAAGGAAGGAAGAAAGAAAGAAAGAAAGAAAGAAAGAAAGAAAGAAAGAAAGAAAGAAAGAAAGAAAGAAAGAACGGACGGACGGGAGCCCTGATCTCTGCTGCTTGAGAGCTGAGTCATCCTGCTCCCCCCTTTCAGCTCCCTCAGCCCAAGCATGACCAGCAGCAGATGCATAGAGATCAGCCTTCCGCCCTTCCCTGCTTAGGGCAGGAGCCCCCACACTCAGCAGTGGCAGAGGAAGGCTCAGGACCAGACATGATGACTTCCTAGGCTCCTTCTCTTCACCCCCGGAGTCTTTCTCTCAGCTTCTGGTACTGCAATTGCCGGAAATTGCCCATCTGAGGGTAGCCCTTGCCTGCACAAGATCTCTTAAAAGATAGCAAAAGCTCTGGGCAGTCCAGGGATCTGCTTAGACCTCCCCGCTGTGCCGGAGGCTAAAGATAGGAGACCCAGCCCAAAACCATAGCGGAGCCTGAGCAGAACTGCCTGTGCAGAGCTCACAAGGGAACCTTCAGTTGCATCCTGTGCATTTGCAGTGGTGCTCAATGAACCCAACCAGCTATAGTCACCTCCTTCTATTCCTGAGTCTCACAAGGAAGTGGTCAGCCTGCGCCTCAGTTTCCCCTGTGGCCCCTCCCCCTGACTTTTGCCCCACGGCTGACTCTGGACTCCCTGATACTCTCCAGTGGCCGCCTCTAGCTCCTCAGTCTCACTAACCTCTCTGACACCCAAGATCCAGTTTCTTATGTATTTACTTTTATGATCTAACTTTAATGACAGGAAATATATGCACATGGTTAAAGAAACTCTAACAGCCAGCAAGGTAAAAAGTAAAAAGTAAGTCTCCCAGGATCCCAGAACCTCACCCCGAGGCAACTGCTATTAGAAGTTTCTTTGGGGGTACCTGGGTGGCTCAGTCAGTTAAGCATCCAACTTCGGCTCAGGTCATGATCTTGCAGTTCTTGGGTTCAAGCCCTGCATCTAGCTCTGTGATGACAGCTCAGAGGCTGGAGCCTGCTTTGGATTCTGTGTCTCCTTCTCTCTCTTTCTCTCTCTCTTTTTTTTTTTTTTTTGTCTCCTCTCTTTACCTGTCCCCCTCTTCTCTCTTTCTCTAAAAAATAAACATTAAAAAAATTTTTTTAAAGAATTTTCTTTTGAGGGGCACCTGGGTGTCAGTTAAACATCCAACTCTTGATTTTGGCTCAGGTCACGATCTCAGGGTCATGGGATCAAGTTGTGCATTGGACTCTATGCTGAGTGTGAAGCCTGCTTAAGATTCTCCTTCTCCTTCTCTCTCTCTCTCTAATAATAATAATAATATAATAATAATAATAATAATAATTTAAAATAAAGAAGTTTCTTTTGATACCTTCCAGAAACACTCTACAGATATACAAACATACATTTGAATAGTGTATATTCTTGTTTTTAAACACAAATGGAAGTATTCTATACACATCTTTTCATCTTGCTTTTTTCCATCCAACAGTCTGTTTGAGATTTCTCCTTTGCAGCCATGCAGCTCCTGCAACCTCCTTTGTTAACAGCCACTTGGGGTTCCATATACCAGATATGTCATAATGAATTAACCAACTCCATAGCGCTGGATATTTAGGTTGTCTCCAGTCACCTTTAACACTTCAGACAATGATGTGGTGAACAGCCTTGTACCCTGTCACTGTGCACATGAGCAGAGACCCCTGTCAGGTAAATTCCTAGAAGTAACTCTGCCAGGAACGTCCTTGCCTTCTCGGGCCTGGCCCCCGCCAGCTCCACATACACTCCTGACTCCAGCTTCTGCTTTTCAGAAACCCGCAGCCATGCACCATTTCTGTAGGAGTCCTCTGTCCTTGGCTCTGTCCTAAAGCACCTTGACCCCAAGCTCAAAGACCTATAGCTTCAGCTGTTGCAGAACCACATGGTTTTACGGTCTCTTCATCATATCAAACTCAAATTATTCAAAATCAAACCTGAAATTTCCGCCACCCCCTTGAGTTTGGTCAATGGGATAAGATCTTCCCAAGAATGGCAATGGGAAACCTGGAGTTATTCTTGTTTAATGCTTGTTTATTTATTTTGAGACAGAGAGAAAGAGTGTGCATAAACGTGCACGAGCGGGGGAGGGACAGAGAAAAAAAGAATCCTAAGCAGAGCTGACGCAGGGCTCGAACTCACGAACAATGAGATCATGACCTGAGCTGAAATCAAGAGTCAGATGTTCAACCAGGTTGAGCCACCCACGCACCCCTGGAGTTATTTTTGAAAAAAAAAAAAAAAATTGTCTTCCTTTCCCTTTAATTCAATCTGTCACGGTGTCCTGCCTTCGAACTGCTCAATTTTATTCTCTGTAGCAGATAAGGCTGACTCCCTCCCCAACATCCATCCCAGCATCCTTTCTGCTTCCTAAAAGAGCCATGCATTTGGTGCTTTATTGATTCCTCCAGCTGAGTTCTTCCAGGAAAGCTGACTCTGGATTCTGGTATGAACTATTAGCCCGGGGCTGAAGATGTGACTTAACTGGATAGAAGAGAAGAACTAAGATGGTTAAGGGAAGGTTTTAGCTTTTCTACTGAGGGCTCCAGCTGCGACCAGCAGGCACTTTAGGACCGAAAGAGAAAGAAACCTTGGGTAGCAAAGCAAAAGAAACCTGGCTTCTTCATGACCTCCTGAGAAACTGGTTCAACTGAACCCAGAGCCTGCCTCCCAGCGAACTCCACTTCTGGGACTTTGCTGGTTAGGCCACTTTAAACTATGGTTTTCTTTTACTTGCCGTCAAAGGCCCTAAGCACCCAGGACCACCAGTCCCAGAACAAGCCCATCGTCACTGCAGGACCCGGGCCTTCACTCAGCCCTCTGCTCTTGTCCCCAGTTCTGCAGGCCTGTGCCAGTGTAGTTTTGTATTTTTTTCCCCCTCCAGAGCCTCCTCAATCAAAATCAAGACCCAGTTCTTCAGCTTAACTTATGAGGCTCTACACGATTAGCTCAGGTCTGGTTCCACAGCCGAGAGGGCTGAGTTTTGGAGCCAGGGACCAGGAT